AAAATATAGCAGCTACATTCGGTATTTTTAAGAGTTTAACAGAATTTTTAACAAATATTATTTTTTCGAAAAGTGACAAATTCGTTCCAAATGGTGGAGGGTATTCAAAGTTCGACCCGGACAAACTTACAGCTTTTTACTTATTTTATTTTTTTTTTTTGTTCTTTTTTCAAAATATTATTTAAAACGTAATTTAAACAGGATCGTAGCTAGCCAAATATTCTAGATTTTTTTTAATATTCTTCATAAAATTTTCCTATAAGTCATCGAAGAAAAGAAAACTCTATTTCCATTGGATATTAAAAAAATATTTGCATCATTGTTTCTTAAAAACACATTTTAGGACTAAAGCGGATTTGTGCAAAAATCTTCTAAAAATACGCGAAAATATTTCCTAATTTTGTCTGATAAATTTTCATTGGTCTTTTTTCGAGTTTACGCCTGAATGTAACATAAAATCTCATTTTAGGCAAAAGGTGCCCTAAAGTGGAAATATTCTAAAAACTTCACTATAAATCTCAAAATAAAGTATATGCCTGGGTAAAATATTTTTTTCCGAAAATTAAATTCAAAATGCATGTACAAAAAGTGAAAATTATGTCTTTGCTTTTCTTACTGTTAATTTAATACGTATCCCATCCGAGTCAAAATCTAATTTTTTTGGGAAAAGTGTCTAAGTAAAAATTATTCTATATCGAATTTCATTGTCAGTCGCTGAATAAAAGAAATTTGTATATTCAATGTATACCCTAAAAAAATATCAGCAGCTTTTGTAAATAAAAAAAACTTGTTAAATTTAAAAAAAAAATCCTCATATTTTCACAGAACAATAGCAAGTACTAGTTTGTAGATGAAAACTCCATAGAAATTTCGAGGTCTAAGGCCAAACGCCTAGATTCATGATTTTAGCTCTATTCCTTCACTCAATACCAAATTTAGTACCACTTAGAACTTTTCGAACAATTATAGCACATATATCTAAAACCTCTTCCATATCTAAATTCCAAAATGCCAACAGACACCTTAATTTAAAATTTTAGAATCACAACCCTATCACTTCATCCAACACCAAATTTAGTATCATTTAGTACTTTTCGTAAAAATATAGGACACATTTATAAACCACCGCCAAAACTCAAACACATATAAATTCAGAAAATATAAAATATGAAATTTCGGATTTAATCCCTATACCTTCACCCAATAACAAATATTGCACACATTTCCGAAATCATCCTACAAATGTCCAGGCTACACATGAACAGGTACCCTAATATCAAATTTCACATTTCAAGCACTACCTGTTCATACAATACCAGATTGTACCAAATATAGTAATATTTAGCAGTTTAGTACTAAAAAGTTCTAAAATACTTTTCGTAACCTTAATTTCATTTTTTTTCAGAATTTTAGATAGTTCAGTTGTCCAATACAAAGTATTAAATTTTAAGTATACTTTAGTACTTTTCCTACCCTCTGAGTCCGAATTTTTAAAAACCCAGCCTCATCGCCTACGCATGAAGACTGACCCTCGTGAAAAATTTCAATATACTAGCTTCAGCCGTTTCTTAAGGTCGTTAATTCACAGTCATTGGTACAAAGAATGGGACATACCAATCAACTTTTTGGAATAGTCCCCATGTAAGGACAACTCCCAATTCAAGAATTTTTTTACTATTCGACCATATTTTTCATTTAATATCGTCAATATGCTAAAAACCCTGAAATGTCAATATTTAAGGAATTATGTTATGTTATGTCAAAATTTAAGGAGTTATGGGTACATTTCAAAAGAGCCTATTTTCCTCTTAAAAATTCTGACTGAAAAAATATGGTAAATAACCCGAAATTTCAATTTTTAAGGAGTTATGGCAAATTTAAAAAAATCCATTTTTCCTCCTTAATGAAGAAATATGCTAAAAACCCCGAAATGTCAATATTTCAGGAGTTATGGCAGTTTTAAAATAGTCTGTTTTTCCTCCTTTAATGCCTGAATGAAAAAACATGTTGAAGAAACCGCAATGTCAATATTTAAGGAGTTATTGCAATATTGCAATTTTTTAAATTTTAAGTAAATATCTGAATGAAAAAATCTATTTGGGATTCGAAAATTTTTATTTGATCATATAGCATAAAATTATTTTTGGGGAGGACGTACCCTCTTTACAATACAAATTCAATTGGCGCCTGAAATCATGCTTTGCAACGTGGTTTATCATCGTACACGGAGTTGCCAGGCAAAACAGTGTGTGTAAAGAATTATTTTGCCATTACGTATACTTACGTTTTAGTTCTGGTTGCCTGGTATTTGGTGAAATTGCAAAAAATCAACTTTTTCAGATGTGAATGACGTCACAAAGGAGTTTTTCTAGGTGATGACTGGCTGAGAAGAATTAACGTCAAGACGAAACGGCTGAAGCTAGAATCTTAAAATTTTGCATGAGGGCCAGTCTTGGTATGTAGAAGTGAGATAAGGCCGGTTTTTGGAAATTCATACTAAAATGCTCCTTGGAAAAATGGTGTTTATTTATATTTGAGGCTTTGTTGCTCCGAAAATATGATTTGTACCTCCATTGGCTCTTGAAAGAAAATTCTTAAAAACCAAGGTTACAGGCTCCACATGTCCATGAAAAAATGACTTAAAAATCCGAGTACGTGGCTCCAGCCGTGACAAAATAAGCTTAAAATTTCACTTTTTGTGGCTTTAAAAAATATTAAAATATAATTCAAATTTGTTATTCTGTTGAAAAATATTAAAAAAAAACAAATCCATATTTCTGACAATGCTGCTCTTTTCAAAAATATTACTTAAAGGATTCCCATTTAGGGTTCATGATCCATTGATCTGTGAAATAATATTCTAAAATTTCCTTCCAAAAATTTTCTAAAAAAATCACCTTTCTGGCCTTGAAGAAATATTCCCAAAAATCCAATTTCGTGGTTCTGTTGGTCCTTTAAAAATATTTTGAGAAAATTCAAGTTTTTTGGTCCATTGGTCTTTGGACTAATTTTCTTACATTCCCTCAAGTTTGTGACTGCTATTTTCTTTGAAAAATTATTCCTAAAAGTCCCGATTTGTGTCTCTGATGGTCCTTCCAAAAAATTAATAAAGATTAGCGTTTATGGTTTGGAAAAAATATTTCTAAAAATCCAAATTCATGGTTCCGTTGGCCACTTGAAAAATTCACGTTTGTTGGTCCATTGGTCTTTGAAATAATATATTGTGGCTCCAAATATACTTTAATAAGTTCGCATTTCCATCCAAAAATATCAAAGTTTGTGGCATTGACGGTCCCTTCAAAAATAATCTTAAAAATTCAGGTTTGTGGCTGCTATCTTCTTTATTCTTAAAAATTCCCGATAGTGACTCTGAAGTCCTTTCCAAAAAAAAAAATGAAAATTCGCGTTTATGGTCTCGAAAAAAATATTCCTCAAAATTTACGTTTGTGAAACAATTCATCCTTGAAATATCATTTTCAGCTCTGTTGATCCTTTTAAAAATATTCCATTAAATAATCGTTTGTGGCCTTGTAAAAATATTCCTAAAAATCAGTGTTTTTGGCTCCGTTGGTCCCCCAAATATTCTCTTTAAGAATTTTCCTAAAAAATCAATGTTTGATTCTTGAAAAAAATATTTTTAAAAACTCCACGTTTGTGGATCTATTATTCATTGCTCTTCCACAAACAAAAATTTAAAAAAATCATAAAAATTCGCGTTTATGGTCTTGAAAAAATATTCCGTAAAATTTACGTTTGTGACACCATTGATCCTTGAAATTTTTTTTCAGCTCTGTTGGTCTTTTCAAAAAAATATTCCCAAAAATAAACTTTTTTGGGCCTTGGAAAAATATTTTTAAAAATGGAAAAATATTTTTTTGTTTGTGGCTCCTTTGGTCCCCCTGTAAAAATCTTTCCCCTCAAAAAATACTCTTTCAGAAATATTCCTAAAAAATCAAAATTTAATTCTTGAAAAAAAATATACATATTTCTAAATAGTCCATGTTTGTGGCTCTGTTGATCCTTGATCTCCCAACATCATGAAAATTCGCGTTTATGGTCTTGAAAATTTATTCCTGAAAATTTACGTGTAAGACACCCTTGATCCTTGAAATATTATTTTCAGCTTTTATGTTCCTTCCCAAAAAATATTCCCTAAAATAAACGTTTGTGGCTTTGGAAAAAAAAAAATTAAAAATTTGTGTTTGTGGCTCAGTTGGTCCCCCAAAAATTCTATTTATATAATATTCTTAAAAAATTAAAATTTTATTCTTAAAAACTCCATGTTTGTGGCTCTATTGGTCCTTCCAATAATATTCCCTTAAATAATCGTTTGTGGCCTTGGAAAAATAGTCCTAACCATTCGTGTTGGTGGCATCGTTGTTAAAAAAAAAAATAGATTTTATTCTATAAAATCTATGTTTGTGTCTCCGTTAGTCCTTGTTATTTCACAAAAAAATTAAAAAAAAATCATAAAAATTCAAGATCAATGGTCTTGAAAAAATATTCCTAAAAATTTAGTTTGTGACACCCCTGATCAGTTATGATGGTTCTTCCAATTATATTCCCTAAAAGTATACTTGGAAAAAATATTCCTAAAAATTCTTGTTTGTAACTCCCCAAAAAATACTATTTAAAAAATATTCTTAAAAAAATCAAAGTTTGATTTTTGAGAAAAATTTTCGTAAAAATCTTCGTCGAAATATTCCTTAAATCCACAATTACACATCATTATATTTCATTCTATACATTTTTCTTTATAGAAAAATAGTTTAACAAATATATAATTTATTTTTTAGTGTCAATACACACACTAAATATTCTTTATTAATTTTAATTTTATGACAAAAGTATATAAATTACTTTAAATATTATTCTTAATATCTCATACAAAATGTATTATTTTTTTTTGTTTGTATTGCTAATTTAAATTTGTATTTAATTCTACAAAAAAATAAAAATAAATTATTTTTTTTTTATTTTCTTTATTTTTTCAGTTATAATTATTTGTTTGTAATGTAAGTCGTAGGTGTTTAAACTCTATACCTATGGAATAGTTAACAAAAAAAATTTCAAAAATTTGTGATTTCTAGTATCAGAAGTTATTTAAAAAATACTAGTATTTATAGATATACAAATATATATATATATAAAACTAGAATTGTTAAATGTGAACATTGTGTAAAAAAATATTTAGAAGGAAAATACTTAAAAAAACTTGTCTCTTAGTCTAAACTGTGAAAACTATGGAACTATGGGGTATGGAAATAAGAGGAGAATCGGAATGATGGTGGTGTTACATATTTGTGTGGTGTGGTGTTACATATTTATATGTATGTGTATGTTTCTTTTTATGTGTAAATTGGATAATGGCAAGTTGTGGGATAAGGTGTTTGAAGGTCTTATGAGCTCGTTTGATAAAGAATTTTGCTAGCCAATACAATTTGGATACAAATCACTTTCTGGCAAAAATTCAAAATCAAACAAATCATAAAACCTTTTTGGACCTCTATTTTGCCCTTAGCCTTGTCATTTTATTGAAATTCAGGCATCAAAGTCTAGTTAGGAAATTTAAAAAAAAATTTATAATAAATTATAGAATATTTGAGCAGCGTACTGGTGGAACCCTACAACTAGAGGCGAGGGGTAGAAATTGTATATGATTCCAGGTGGCATTAAATCTGTAAAAAACAAAAAGAAAAAAGTATTAAAATATTAAATTCCAAATGTTCCACATCTCTACTCACAAGTATTTCTCAGCCAATTGTTGTTCGACATGGGGTTTAATTTTCGCATAATCCTTATCCGCTATTGAAGTACTACAATGTTTCTGCATATAGGCTAAGGCGAAGAGTTCATTTTCATTATAAGACCTCAGACCGGGGATGCGTAGACGTTGAGTAAGCCTTAAACTTTCATAGGTATGCAGCTGGTCGAAAGAGGCCCCCACAATGGGTGAAGCCGTGTCAATGGCCGCCAGAAATGAGCTCAATGCCTTGGCTGTAATTTTTGCCCCACTCAGTGTGATGTGGAAACTTTTGAGGGCATTCGTTGATAATTCTTGTAACTCCTCTCGATTATGCTCCTCAGCGGTGATACAACCAATATCAACATTACCCAAATCGATGTGCAAATGTAAATCATTGTTATCGGCTTTGTACTGTTCAACGAAGGTCATTACAGCATCCATTAGGACCTCCAAGATATCGGAGCCGATACGGGCAAAATTAACAGCAACTGGATAGCGATAATCGTAATAACCAGATGAGGCTATGCCACGGGATATGACCAACATATTGAGTAGTTTGGAATAGGCAACCAATGGCGGTTCTTCGGAGGTATACATTTCGGAAATGATGCTGGAATAATAGAAAGTTAAAGTCAATTATTGTAAAATTTTTGGAATTGATTTAAAATCACTGGGTTATGTTTGTAGAACTCTATAAAAGAATAGTGAAATAACTGACTGAGACGGAAATGGCTAAAACTAGAATCTTAAAATTTTGCACGAAGGCCAGTCGTACTAAAAGGGTACGAAGAGTACTAAAATATACTAAAAAATTAACATTTTGTGTTGGGCAAACGGAATAAACTAGATTTCTGAAATTTAGAATGAGGCTCACTGTTGGCCTGCAGCATAGATGTACCAAAGGGGTTTTGGAAATCGGCCCTATAAGTGTACGATGAGTAGTAAATGTACCACAATTATGAAATTTGAAATTAACATTACTGGCGAAGTGTATGATTGGGATATGAAGTTAAATATGGAAATGTGTACTTAAGTGTACGACAAGTACTAAATGGTACTAAATTTAGTACACATTGAACCTGGAGGAACAAATGGTGCTGGAATCCTGGAATTTTAAATTACAATACTGGCGGAGAGTAGGATTGGAATATGGAGGAAGTTTTCGAAATTTGTACTTATGTACGCAAAACGTACTAAATGGTCCTAAATTTTGAATAATACCATTTTGGGTGAACCGATGGAGTGAAATTTGGAAATAATTTTCGATTGCTATGTGGGATCATGGTATGCAGGTAGTTTTGGAAATTCGTACATATGTGTACTAAATGGTACTAAATTTGGTAAAATTTGAATTTAGGGAACGAATGGAGCTGGAATCCTGAAAGTGGCGAAGTGTTGGATTGTTATGTGGAGAAAGTTTTCGAAATTTGTACTTATGTACACAAAAATTACTAAATAGTACCAAATTTGGTACAATTTGGATTTGAGTGAACCAATAGAGCTGGAATGCTGAAATTTGGAAATAATATTACTGAGGACTGAGGTATTATTGTAGGACTAAGGTACGTCCGTAGTTTGGGAAATTCGAACTTATGTGTACTAAATGGTACTAATTTTGGTACAATTTGGAATTGGGTGAATCGATACACTTGGAATTCTGAAATTTGAAACTTAGATTAGTGCCGGATTGGGGGATTGAGGTATGTACGAAACTTAGAAAATTCGTACTTATGTGTTCTAAATGGTACTAAATATCACACAATTTGAATTTGCGTGAACCGATTGGGATGTAACCTGAATTTGTAATTGAGATTACTATGGGAGTGTAGGATTGGGGCATGCGGGAAGCTTTGTAAATTCGTACTTATGTGTACTAAATGGTTCTAAATTTAGTACAATTTGGAATTATGGTGAACCAATAGAGCTGGAATTTTGAAAATTTAGAAATAATACTTCTATGAGATTGTTTAGAAATTTGGACTATAGGATTGGGGTATGTTTTTGAAATTTGGGGGAAGTTTTGAAAATTGTGTGGACCGATCCTCAAAGTTGACATTGAGGTCTGTATGATTGAGAAATGGCGCTGGCTTATAGAAATGTGTACTATAATTGAATGAAAATTTCTAAATAGTACTAAATTTTGGTATTGAGAGATGGAAAAAGAGCTGAAATTCTGAAATTTGATATGGAAGCCACTGTTGCTGTCTGTGGTTAAGATATGGATGTGGTTTTGAAAATGTCTACTATAATTGTACGAAAAGTACTGAATGGTACTATATTTGGTATAGGGTGAAAGGATAGAGCTGAAATCCTGAAATTTGATATTAACGCAACTGTGGGTATCTAAGTTTGAGATTTGGAGGTGGGTTTGGAAATTTCTACTAAATGTTACCAAATTTGGTATTGGGTGAAGGGATATTGCTGGAATCCTCAAATTTTATATGGAGATTTCTGTTGGTATCTGGAATTGAGATATGTAGGTGGTTCTGGAAATGTGTACCATAATTGAAATCAAATTCAAATTTGATATTTACATTACTAATGATATATGTTTTTGAGATTTTGCGGTGGGTTAATATACGTCCTATATTTGTACGAAAAGTACTAAATGTTACTATATTTGGTAATGGGTGAAGGAAAAAAGCTGACATCCTGAAATTTGATATGAATGTCACTGTTGTCGTTTTTGTTTAAGATTTAGCGTTGGCTTGGAAATTTGTACTATTATTGTACGAAAAGTACTAAATAGTACTAAATTTGTTATTGAGTGAATGTATATAACTGGAATTCTAAAATGAGGTGTCTGTTGGTATCTGGTGTTGAGATCTGCAAATGCGAACTTGAATTGTTCAAAAAGTACTAAATTGTACCAATTTTGAATAACTGTTGGTGTCTAGGCTGGAGAGAAGTACATTGATTGGGATATGACTACTAAATGTTACTAAATATGGCATTGTGTAAAGAAATAAGGCCGCAATCCTCAAATTTGATATTGAGGTTCACTGTTGGTTTCTAGGATTTACTAAATATTTAAATATTGGAGGAAAAGAATCTTAAAAATCATAAAAAATATTAACAATTTAAATATTAGCCCGACAAATATTAAAAAAAAATAAATAAAAAATACTAGCACTTTGGAAAATCATCGATTGCGCCTCTGGGTCCTTATATTTTGTTTAAATTTATTTGAAAGATGCTCTTAAAAAATATATATTGGCCACTGAAAAAATATTCTTTAGAAGTCTACGAGTGGCCTGCATTGGTCCTTAAAAAATATTCTATAAAAATTCACGAGTGTGCCACCATTGATCCTTAAAAATATTTTTTAAAAATCCCCGAGTGTGCCACTATTGATCCTTAAAAAATATTCGTAAAATATAGCCGATTTGGGCTCCAGTGACTCTTAAAAACGATTTTTGAAAGCCCCATTGTTCCTTGAAAAAAAAAAATTCTTTAAAAATCCACGCGTGTGCCTCCATTGGTCTAGCAATAAATATTATCTAAAAAATCCTCTAGTGTGCCAAGATTGGTCCTCGAAAACTATTCTTCTAAAATCCGCGGGTATGTGGTTCATTGATCCTTAAAAAAATATTCTTTAAAAATCCACGGATGTGTGGTTCATTGATCCTAGAAAAATAATTCTTTAAAAAGGCACAAGTGTGCCTTAATTGGACCTTGAAAAAATATTCGTAAAAAATCGGCGTTTGTGGCTCCATTGGCCCTTAAAAAAATATTCTTTGAAAACCCACAAAAATACTCTTTAAAAAATCCACGATACGATATTGGCATTACTATTGGTCCTTCAAAATATAATCTTTAATAATCCCACTTGTGTGTCTCCATAGCTCTTTGAATAAATTATCGGAAAAGAACCACGTTTGCGGATCTATTAACACTTTGTGGATAAATTAAAAAAAATCAGGACAATATTTTTCAAAAATGCGTATTTTGTGTCTCCGAGAAAAAACAACATTTTCAATAGACCTCATTTGTGGCTCCATTTGACCTTGAAAGATTTAATAAAAAAAATCCAGGTTTGCGGTTCCATTGGTCAATTTTTTTTTTAAATGTAAATTTGTGTCTACTCAGGCCCTTGAAAAAAATACGCTTAAAAACTTTTGTTTTGTGGATCTCTTGATCCTTGATATATTTGTAAGAAATCGGGGTTTTCTAGGTTATTTGGTCATTGAAAATATTTTTAAAAATCTATATTTGTGGGTCTGTTGATCTTTGTAATCCTGTTCTTGGAAAATCCTCATTTGTGTACTCTTTGGCCTTTTAAATAATTTTCTTAAACTTCCAGATTGATCCGGTTATTTAAATGCATAGATTGCGTTTCGAAATATTTTACCTATTAAAATGCCCCTGACGATTGCACCAAGGTGTTAATTTACGACATGTGCAATGTACCTCTTCGCTTAAAAGCAACAATTTTGCTTTTCGATGAAGCTAATAAATAAAATCAAAATAATTTTCACAATCACACTGATTAATGTCGGCACTTATTAATCTAAATTTATAACCCGGAAATATAATTAAATAAAAACATATAATTAATTTTGAATGCTAATTAAATTTTTGAGCTTTTTGTTCAAAATAATATTTTAAAAATTTCATATATTTAATTTTTAGATTTTTAATTCAAAATTTCGGCACTTACGTATCAATGATGTTCAATGCCTTGAGTTTATCTTCCATGCGAGCCATACGAAAACTCCAAATCGATTGTAGATGTTCGACAAAATACAAATTGCTCAGCAGCAGTTCGTTGTAGTAATCCTTGGTGTAGCTTTTATTCGATAGAACTTCTTCGGGTATGCCAATTTGTAAACGCATTGTGGTAAGCTGGAAGATACGGAACAGATATTATACACAATTATCATTAAAAACATTCCCACTGGACTTACTTTTTCATTGATGTACTTCTTAACATCTCCACTTATCCAATTGGCTTCCTCAACAGATTGTTCCAATTGATTGCGTAAACTATAGTACATCAACTTCAAGAACTCATCATTGCCCGATGTTTTATTCAAGCCATTGTTGTCCTTAAGGTGAGAGGGCAGAAACTTCGATGCCTATGGAAAAACGAAAAAAACACATCATTACCAAAATCTCCTTCCTTCATCAAATACCATCCCTTACCAATTCCTCTTGATTTTTCTGCTTGACTGCATCCACGGCAAAGGGTAACCAATCTCGAACAGTTTTTGCACACACCATCCATCGTGGATATGTGGAAGTCCTTCCATACACTGAGTGGTCAAAGGCCTCTACCAGGTTACGATATTCCATTGACAAATGGGGAAGTAGGTGGCGTGCCAGCGACCAAATAATGAAATTATTTATGGGCCTGTAAAGGGAAAATTATTTTTTTATTTAGAACTTGGTAAATTTTAAAATTGTAGAGAAATTGGACTTACTTTTTGTCAGAGGTGGAAACAATCGTAGACAGTTCATTTAGCACATCAACATCTCTTACCAAAACTTCTGTATCATCGTTAATTTTGGTATGAGGGAAGAGAGCTTGCAAGGTTTCCGCTATGGGTAGCTGTAAAGAGTAAATCCAATTATTTTGTGCTATAAAACAATAAAGGGCTTTTTATATGTATGTGCAAAAAACACCAGCTATATTTTTTATACCCTCCATCATAGTATTAAAATGAAATGACAAACTTAATATACCCTAAGTTTGTCATTTCATTTTAACACCTCGAAATACACATTTTAGACCCCGCAAAGTATATATATTCTTGATCAGCATAAAATTCTTTGTCGATTTAGCGTTGTCCGTCCGTCTATTCGTCTGTGGAAATCACTCTAGCTTCCGAACGAATTAAAGTAGATTGATAAAATTTTGCTCTAATGTATGTTATGTCTGCAGGACTTTTGGTATTGAAAATGGGCCATGTTGGTCCACGTTTTGGTATAGCCCCCATTTAACGGTACCTCCCGATATTCGGTATTTTCATGATTTTAGCGACATTATTCACCGAAATAGTTTCAAATTTGGTATTTGAAGTTCGTTATGGATACTACAGCCTAAGACAGAAAATTGTCTGTGTAGGTCCTCGTCTTCGTATAGCCCCCATATAAAGGTACCTTCCGATATTCAGTATTTTGATGATTTTAGCGAACCTATGCACCGCAATTGTTTCAAATGTGGAATTTAAAGTTCGTAATGGATACTACAGCCTAAGACAGAAAATTGTCTGTGCAGGTCCACGTCTTCGTAGAGTCCCCAAATAGCGGTACCTCCCGATATTCGGTATTTTAATAATTTAATGGACATTTTTTCACCAGAATTGTTTCAGATTTGGTATTTGAAAGTCGTAATGGATACTACAGCCTATGACAGAAAATTGTCTGTGTGGGTCCACGTCTTCGTATTGCCCCCATATAACAGTACCTCCCTATATTCAGTATTTTGATGATTTTAGACAATTTATTCGCCAGAATAGTTTCAAATGTTGAATTTAAAGTTCGTAATGAATATTACAGCCTAAGACAGAAAATTGTCTGTGCAGGTCCACCTCTTCGTAAAGCCCCCATATAACGGTACCTCCCGATATTCAGTATTTTAATGATTTTAGGGACATTTTTCACCAGAATTATTTCAAATTTGATATTTGAAGTTCGTAATGGATACTACAGACAGGATTTGCAAAGTTCGAGCAAAATCGGATCATCCTTTCTCATACTGTGCAAAAAATATTTTTTGAAAATTTCGACCTTTTGTGTGGGGAGGTACCAGAAGGAGCAGACCGATATATTCTATCTTAACACCAGACCATGGGTTGATAAAAATATTGGGTTGTGTGAAGATAATCGGACTATTACATCACATTTTATAAGAGTTGTACTAGATAAAGCGAACCGATATTGTCCATTTTTGCACTTGACGTAGCACTGATGCAAATATTAGGATTTTCAAAGTTCGAGCAAAATCGGATCATCTTTTCTCATTCTGTGCAAAAACTATTTTTTGTCACTTTTGACCTTTTGTTGGGTAGGTACCCAAAGGAGTCGACCGATATATTACATCTTAACACCAGACCTTTGGTTTTTAAAAATGTTACATCACATTTATAAGAGTTGTAATTATTCAAAATGTTGACCCTTTATGAGGGATACAGGATGGAGTGGACCGATATTGTCCATTTTCGCACCTGCTGTAGCACTGATGCAAATATTAGGATTTGCAAAGTTGGAACAAAATCGGGTTATAGTTTCTCTTTCTGTGCAAAAAAAAAAATATTTTTTTTTGAAAATTTCGACCTTTTGTGGGGGAGGTACCAGAAGAAGTGGACCGATTTTGCCCATCTCTGAACTCGATCTTAGTTTGACAATAATATTACGACGTACCAAGTTTGGATCAATTCGGATACTTCCTTCGAGAGTTATAGTGCGCACCAGCCAGGCAGACGGACGGACGGACATCACTGGATTGACTCAAAATGCCCTAAAACGGATTTGGTCCAAAGAGACATAGGGTCTAAAACCGTTATTTTGATTAGGCACTTTTGACCGTATAAAATGATATATACCCTCTCTAGCCATATGGCCGAGGGCATAAAAATCGTACTTTTCGGATCTAATATTGGTATAAAGGATTATTAAAATCTCAAAATCATAGAATGTGGGAAAAAATGTGTTATGGAATTAAAGTGCCGTAGTTTGATTGGACCAAAAATTATGGACACCTCGAAATATTGGTTGGAAAGTATATATGGATCTTCATGGATCTTCACCGAGTCGATATAGCTTTTTGTGCCCGTCCGTCCGTCTGTCCATGTTAAATTGTAATCATTCTACAGATCGCAATTATGGCCCGATCCTCACGAAATTGTGCATGGAGAAGTCTATTCTTGGGCGTGATGATTGCAAAATATTTAGGGATTGAAATGATTTATAGACCAACCGGCTCGGAATATTGAATGGCGCTAGAGTTTCGAATAATATATAGCGAGTGAAATATACAACATCTTTTATATTAAAAAGTTTAAACATTTCCATTAAATCGCGAATATTTTAAATTTCAACGAAATCACAAATACACGAAAATGTCACTTCTGACAATTACATTGTCAGACATACATCCCATATATCGCATACATAGCAAAATATATACAATTTCATATATCAAAGAAGGGGATGTTAGTTTGACCGCTTATGGATACGTTTTTATGATTTGTTATGCCTTTGTTAATATTCTCACTTACCGATGGAGCTATGGTTTTTATTTCCACTAAAGTCTTGATTTCATTTAAACGTTTTTCTCCAGATGACGATTTGACAACATCCAAATGATTTACAATACGTTTCTCATAATTGAAAACATCATCGGCAAAGAGTTCAGCCTGTTTGGAAACAATGCCTGAAAATCAATAAAAAAAATTAAATAAATAAAAAATTGTTATTTTTAATCGTTGAGGACTTACCCATGTTAATGGCAAAATCGCGTAGCAACAAAATATAGCCTTTGACAATCTAGAAAAAGAAATATAAATTTGATAAGTTAAGAAAAAAAGTGAATGGGCAATTTTTTCTTAGATTTTCTTTTTTCCGTAGAAGAAGATGTTCGAAAAAAATATTTAAAAATTCTTTTAAATGTAAGTTTAAAAACCCGTAAAGAAAGTCTTAAATTCTTAAAGACTTTATGATACCCATAACAATTAAAAGTTTTTATGGGAGAATTCAATCATACACGCTATGATTATAATTATTACTTAAAGTTCAAAGGACTAAATATGCCGAAGCATTTGTATCTTTTAAATTCAGACTTGTTTTGCCCATTTGATATATATATATATATATATATATATATATATATATATATATATATATATATATATATATGGGAGTTATATCCAAATCTGAACCGATCTTGATAAAATTTGGCAAATATATTTCTGAGCTGTATTTCATATATTTCCCTGAATATCGTTGTTACGGAGTGCATATTACGGCTGTGGGTAACAAATATAACAAATCGGATGAACAATATATATGGGAGTTTTAGCTATATCTGATCCGATCTTCACCTAGTTTGACATACTAGCTTCTAGACTCAATTCGGTCATAAGTGTCAAATTTCATCCCATTTTGGGCAAATATTAGACGTTTGGTGCACAATAAAAGATAAATTGGACGAAGTTATATATGGCAGATATATCCAAATCCTAGCCGATCTCGATAGAATTTAGCAAAGGTATTTCTGAGCTGTATTTGATATATTTCCCCAAATATTGTTGTTACAGAGTGCATATTACGGCTGCGGAGGACTAAAATAACAAATCGCATGAACAATATATATTGGAGCTATAGCTATACCTGAACCGATTTCGATCAACTTTGGCACACTTATTTTCAGCCCTTATCTGGTTGTATGTGCAAAATTTCATAATATTCGGGCTGATATTACACGTTTGGTGCACAATAAAAGGCAAATCGGACGAAGATATATATGGGAGCTATATCTAAATTTTTAACGATTATCTCCAATTTCAATAGGGTTCGTCCTTGGGTCAAACAAATGATTTGTGCAAAATTTCATCTGGATCGAATAATAAATGCGACCTGCATTTTGTTCACAAAAATACATGGACAGACGGACGGACAGACAGACGGACGGACATGCATAAATCGACTCAGAATGTGATTCTATGCAGATAATCAATCTCGTTTCCTTTTGCCTGTTAAAAACAAATGTACAAAGACATTATTATTTTTGATATTTCGTCACTCACTTTCGGCACTTGGCAAGATTTTGTACATTTTTGTTATATGTTTAAATATTATTGTTCCCGATGATGTTTTCCATCGAAAATAATAAAAAAAATAAAAAAAACAAATGCCTCGAAATAATTAAAAATAAAGGTCGAATTAAATAACTAAAAATTAAAATATTAAATAAAATTATCAATATTGTTTATACAAAAACTACCCACCTCATCATTTCGATCGGCATTATAGAAATATTTGTCCGGCAAACCGAATTCTCCTTCATCTAATGTAATAATGTATTCGTGGGGCTTGTTGAAACTGCAATAAAAATAACGAAAAACAGAATTGTTATAGGCCTCAAATCATAGGTAATAAGTTCTTTCTACATACCGATTCTCAACGGAAACCTTGTAGTAGGGAAATATGCCATAGGCCGCTTGTAAGTGAACCAACGCTTTACGATAATCCCAAAATTGTATGCTCTTGGTATCGCGTAATGCCTGCCAACCCTCTGTAAATAGAAGAAGAAGTAAGAAAGAAAATAAAATTTCAGAATTAGTGATAATTAAATTAAAACAAAAGTGTTACAAGGTGATTTTGCAATAACAAAAAAATTGTAGTGTTTAATTAATATGGCGCCAAATAAAATTTTGAATTTTGAGATTTTGTATGATTTCACATTTCTAGGAACTGAATATGTATGTAGTTTCTCTTTCTATGTATTAAATAGTAAATGTAATATTTAATGAAAAATAATTGGCATACTTTCCCAGACTTTTTTTTTTTGGAAAGGTGTAGAAGAAATAGGAAATTAAAAAAGCACATAAAATTCGGAAAAAAAAATCAAAAAATACTTTATTTAAATTGATAGTACGGTCCATTTGTATCATTTGATGTTAGAGTATTGTTTCATGCAAATACTGACCGATACTGCACCACAAATGGTCTATCCGATTAGTCCAACTTTGGCATACTCTTTCCAACATTTCGGCCGGTATGTCACAATTACATGCTTCAATGTTGCGGATGTATCATTTTAGGCGCAGTCGCGGTCAACATTTGCATGAAACAATTTTCAAAAATAAAATTATATGGACCTTAATGACAATTCAGATAAATATTTCATTTTTTCAGAATTTTAACTTTCCCATATCTCTATATATCTCCCTTTACTATGTTTCGGCGTAAAAGTATTGCTTTTCCAGAACACAATATGTTGGACCTATTATGAGTTTGACTGGGCAAAAAAAGTATATAACACCGTGAAATATTGCTCCAAGAAATATACAGGGTGAGACGAAAAAACTGCAATCAATCTCAGACTGCTGACATTTCTAAGCCACTAGTCCGACAGTTGTTAAAATTATTCCAGTGTCAGCTCATTATATCGTTTACAGGCGTACAAAAGCATTTTGGTGAGAATTTTTCAGAAAAAAAGTTATTCGTGATGGAATCCAAGCGTGATAGCGTGAATTCTTTTTATTTGGCTGGATAACCACAATTGGCTATCGTTAGAGCACTCCAGCATTTAAATGTGAATAAATCTTTTGTTTTTCGTACCATCGCTCATTACCGTGATACTGGTAACGTAGCCCGACGTCAAGGAAGTCAAGGAAGTGAACGGAAGAAAACAGTAACATCAGCAGAAATGGTTCGAAATGTAAAGAAGTGACTTGATCGAAACCCGCGTCGCAATGGCCGAAAAATGGCTCGTGAGCTGAACATATCGCAATATTCCATTTGGCAAATATTGAAAAATGAGCTCGGGATAAAGCCACTTCCCATCATATTCTTTAAGCTTGCTGCACATGCAAACACTGCCGTCCTAAGGGAGATTTCGGTAAGATAAAACCACCTTGGGAAAACGGTAGCCTTAAGTTGATGAGGAGGAGCGAAATTCCTCGCCTAACTAAAACGACTGTGTACGTCAGAGGATTTGGCACCAACTTCGAGAGCGAACGTATGATCGAAGTATTTGGAAGACAAAACAAGACTTTGGACGTGAAGAGATAGAAAGTCTTCCACAGAGAGGAGAAGATGGCACTCTCCTAGTGATTGGAGTTGGCGATATCTCCATGGCCGCTCTGACAAAGACTAAAGGCATTGCTTTCTATGTCTCAAAAGCTGTCAGAATAACTAGGTGATGAAGACCAAATGGTCTTCTCCTAAAAGACTAAAAGGTCTTCTCATAGAAGAAGAAAGGGTCTCCTCATAGAAGACCAAAGGGTCTTCTCATAGAAGACCAAAGGGTCTTCTCATAGAAGACCCAAGGGTCTTCTCATAGAAGACCAAAGGGTCTTCTAATAGAAAACCAAAGGGTCTTCTCATAGAAGACCAAAGGGTCTTCTCATAGAAGACCAAAGGGTCTTCTCATAGAAGACCAAAGGGTCTTCTAATAGAAAACCAAAGGGTCTTCTCATAGAAGACCAAAGGGTCTTCTCATAGAAGACCAAAGGGTCTTCTCATAGAAGACCAAAGGGTCTTCTCATAGAAGAGCAACTGGTCTTCTCATAGAAGAGCAACTGGTCTTCTCATAGAAGGGCAACTGGTCATCTCATAGAAGAGAAACTGATCTTCTCATAGAAGAGCAATTGGTCTTCTCATAGAAGAGCAATTGGTCTTCTCATAGAAGAGCAATTGGTCTTCTCACAGAAGAGCAAGTGGTCTTCTCACAGAAGAGCAAGTGGTCTTCTCAAAGAAGAGCAATTGGTCTTCTCAAAGAATAAAAAATTAAAAGGTCTCTCAAATACTCTTCTCTCCCCTCCCACGTCACCCCAACTATGCATCCTGTCTACGCGCTGATTACATGCATCACTAAATTTTCCATTTCTGGTTTGGAATGAAAAAAAAAAAAATACTTAATTAGTGTTAATATAAATATCATTGAACTTAAAACAATAGATTTCTCTGTGTCATGCATTCATTTCGACACAATAGCGGAGCTCTAAATAAAATCACATATTATCAATAAAAATCAGAAAATAAAGTTATGTCGCGATATCCCGCACCACTCTTTGGCTCATCATATGCAGAATTGTATTAATTAATAACTAATTGTGTGACAAAGCCAACAGTTGGCGGTGACTCTACTCTCTACGATTTGGACACAAATCCCCCTTGCCATTTTGATCTAAAGCCATCAAGAGCAACATCAAATTGAACCTGTCAAACTGAAAAAAATTAGCACCTTTTAGTGCCACCAGTTGGGCAACTATTGATGCCAAATATTGTTGGAGAACACCAAGCTTAGACCATTTTGGAAATACCGGACATCGTACACATTTTGGAGTCATCGATTTATGACACTTTGCTGGTGATGATGTCTGCCTTCTGGTGAGATTTTTTTGTTTGAAATTTCTTTAATTAGTTTAAATTAAAGATTTTGTGAATTTGTTGTTCCTAGACTTTATTGTTGGACATTTCTTACATGGCGGCTATGGACGGAACTTCTGGGGGAGTTTTTATTAGCCGTTCGATTGATTGGATTTCGATTTCGAAAAGTTTTGGTATAAAACTGTTTGTTTGGCTGGTATTTGGTATCAGTAGTTCATCAACAACTGTCTTAGAGAGAACAGATTTTTCGTCCTTAAGTTTAGAGGGAAGGATTTTAAATTAAGCCTGAGCATGAATTCTTTTGTGGTGAGTTTGAAAGTGGAACAAAAAAGAAATCAACAACAGCTACTAGATTTGGATTACACATTGGGAGAACTAAAGGATAACAGTGTACAGTGTTTCAAAATGTGTTGTGAAATATGTGAAAATGAAAACTTAGAAAAAAGCTCCTTGAGTTACATATGCAATATATAGAGCTTTTCATCGAACTTTAAATTTTAACCAAAAGAGCTTTTAAAATACAATGTGTTAAAACCAAGCGCGAAAATTCCCAGAGCTTTTCGCTCCAAGCTTTTATAAATATTAAATTTCATTAAATGTCTACCAAAAGAGCTTTTAAAAAAGTATTAAAAAATCCAGGGCAAAAAATTCTGAAAGCTTCCCTAAACTTCCCTCTAAGCTTTTATAAGTATCAGTTAAATATCAGAGCTTTTCACTGAAGTTAAAATGTTAACCAAACGAGCTTTAAGGTAGTGTTAAAAGCAATCGCAAAAACGCTCAAAGCTTTCCACTCCAAGCTTTAATAAATACCAGTTAGTATGTAAAGTGCTTTGCACCGAAGTTTAGATTTTGATCAAAAAAGCTTTTAAATAAAATGTATTTAAATTAAGTGCAAAAAATCTCAAAACAGACCTCTCCAAGTTTATCAGTTAAAAATCGAACAAAAAGAGCTTTTTAATAAAATGTGTTAAAATCTAACCCAAAAATTCCCAAAGCTTTTCACTCTAAGCTTATATAAAGTTCAGTTAATGAGCTTTTTGCGATATAAAAATTCAATCAAAGAAGCTTTTAAATAAAATGTGTTAAAATCAAGTATGAAAATTTCCAAAGCTTTTCTCTCCAAGCTTTTCAGTTAAAGTTTTTTATAAATATCAAAGTTAAAAAATATATTTTCAGTTAATTGTTTCATATGAATATTAATTATTTAGAGAAGGATTCGATTTCAAGCCGTTAAACGGAAAGCTTTTATACAGATAAGTTACTTGGAAGCTACATACATAAATCTGTTTAGAAAATATGAAGGCAAAAACTTTAACGAATATCAATTAAGAAAGCTCAGAAGACAAAAAAATTCGGCTTAAGTTGTTATAAATTATTTTGACATAAATATCAAAATTGCCTATAAAAGCAAACAAACTCATTTTAATCCTTAAAAATATTAATCGAAAAAGTCTCAAACAAAGCTTCAAAACAAAATTTATGTAAAAAAAAAATATTTCATATTGAAGCTTTTAAAAGCTTTAAGTTTATTTATCCATAAAAAAATTTCGAGTTCGAATTAAATTTCGGGTTCGAATTAGTGAAAGCCTTAAAAGGAACAAAAGCTTTGGAAGTTTTCAAGAAAAAAACTGATGGAATTTGCAGCTGATGCCTGAAGTTGAAAAGACTTAAAAAAAGCCAATAATCAGTTGATGAAAAAATATAATAAAATTTTTCCAAAATGCTTTTTCCGGCATTTATCCATGGACATTTTGTTTACAAAGCTCCGAAGGCAAAACGGATCCAACTTAGCGTTTTTTATATTATGCAAATAAAAAAGAATAATAAAACAATATTTTTACAAGCAGTTGCCCGCTACTTCGTCAGCGAAATATGGTACCTTTTAATACTTTTCGTACAATTATAGTGCACATTTCGAAACCAGCTACATTGGTCTAGGCTGCACAAGAACAGCGACCATATTTCCAAATTTCAGATTTCAAGCACTATCTGTTCACCTTATACCAAATTGTACCAAATATAGTACTATTTAGTACTTTTCATACAATTATAGTAGTAACTCCCAAAACCATCTCCATATGTTAACCACAGACAACAAACGTAATATGTATATCAAATTTCAGGATTTAAACTCTATCTCTTCACCCAAACCAAATATAGTGTCATTTAGTACTTTTCGAACAATTGTAGAGTACATTTAAAAAAACACCTTCATATCTCAATTCAAGATAACTACAGAGACCTCAATATCAAATTTCAGAGTTTCAGCTCCTTTGTTTCACTCAACTGTAAATTAAGTGCTATTTAGTATTTTTCGTACAATTATAGTACACATTTCCAAAACCACCTCCATATGTTTACCACGGATATCAACAGTGAAATCTATATTAAATTTTTGGATTCCTCCATCCTATAGCAAATTTAGTACTTTTCGTACAATTATGGTAAATATTTCCAAACCTCTTCCATATCTCAATTCCAGATACTAATAGAGACTTCAAACTCAAATTGAGGATTGAGGATTCCAGCCCTATCCCTTCACCTTATTCCAAATTTAGTACCATTTAGTACTTTTCGTACAAACATTGAACGCATTTTGTACAAATATTGGACGATCGCCAAATTTCAAACGCAGATACCATGGGTGAACTAAATATCAAATTTCAGAATTTTATCTCTATTCCATTATCCAATACCAAAGCTAGTACAATTAAGTACTTTTAGTACAATTATAGTTATACACATTGCCGAGACCATGTCCATATGTCCAGGCTACACATGAACATCGGCCATAATACCAAATTTCAGATTTTAAGCACTATCTGTACCTATTTCAGATTTTAAGCACAAATTGTACCAAATATTGTACTATTTAGTACTTTTCATGTACCTATAATACACTTTTCCAAAACCACATCTTTATTACAAACCTACCACCAACCGGTAGCCTAATAATTTTTTCTTTAAATTCCACCTCCATACGTTCAAACCAAAACAAACGCTTCCAAATTTAGATCTTTTTAATACAGTACGCACACTTAGTACACATTACCGAACCAGCTTCAAATTTTGAAAATTACTTTCCAACGATGGTTCTCAAATCAAATACAAATGTTTAGGTCTCTCCGTTAACATTGTACAAAATGGTACCATTTCAGAAGTTTAGTAACATTTTAGAACATTTTCGAAATTTAAAGTTCGATTTTCAAACACCCTTTGGTACATCTATGCTGCACTCCGTCTGTGACTCTCATTCCAAATTTTGGAATTCCAGCTCCATCGATTCTTCACAATTCCAATTTGTAACAAATTTAGTACCATTTAGTACACATAAGTACGAATTTCCCAGCCTTCCTACATACCCCAATTCTACACTCCCACAGTAATCCCAATTCCAATTCCCAAGTATAAATTGTACTTTATTTAGTACATTTTAGTACATATAAGTACAAATTTCCAAAATTGCCAACATATCCCAAATCTACACTCCGACAGTAATCTTATTTCCAGTTTTCCGTATACTAGCTCTATTGGTTCACCTAAATCTAAATTGTACCAAATTTAGTGTCAATTAGTACACTTAAGTACAAATTTTCATACCTACCCACATCTTACAGCCAATAGAAATCTAATTTTCAAATTTCAGGATTCCAACTCTATCGGTTCACCCAAAATAATTTTTTTTTGTAAATTTAGTACAATTTGGTACGTATAAGTACGAATTTTCAAAACTACTTACATTCCTCTGTCCTACAAGGCAATAGTAAGATTAATTCCAATTCTATTGGTTCTCCAATCTAACTCTATTGGTTCTCCAAAACACTTAATTACAAATTTTCATAACTACCTAAAAAAAAATCACGATTCCAACTCTATCGGTTCACCCAAAATTAATTTTTTTCCAAATTTAGTACCATTTAGTACACAAATGTACGAATTTCCAAACCTACCGACATACCTCTGTCCTACAATCCATTAGTAATCTTATTTCCAAATGTCAGGCTTCCAACTCTATTGCTACTTCGTTCAGGTTGAACGAAAGCATAACAAGTGGAGAAAGATGTAAATGTTTATAAGTGCGGTTGTAAGATTTAGAAGACTTTCCAAAAGAATTTTAGTTTTATTTAATTCTTTGGTTCCTCTTCTATTGAGCTTACGATCTCGTCACTTGGGTAAAAAATGTTTTTTGTCATAGAAGTTATTTTTAAATAACTTCTGGGGAGAATATCCCAGACAAAAAACAAGGGAACTGAAACCTAGATATTCCCTGCCTTACCCCCTGGTAAACATTACCATCGTTCTCCACTAATAAACAAACGTTGTTTTTATAAAAACAACAAAAAAGGGATAAAGCCTGACCATTTTGCAACAACAAAATACTACGGTATCCCGAACATACAAGCCACACTGTTCCCCCAAAAACTTTAAATTGTACCAATTTCGAAAGCTGCCTCCATATCCTACACTTCGACAATAATATTAATTTTAGATTTCAGAATTCCAGCTTCATCCATTCCTCCAAATTCAAATTGTACTAAATTTAGTACTGTTTAGTACTTGTTGTACATATGGGTACTCACTTCCACAACTACCTTCTTACATCGAGACTCTACTCCTCAACATTAATTCCCATTCCAAAATTCAAGTTTATAGCTCTAACCGTTCACATGATACGAAATGCTACCAAATGTTGTACATTTTAGTACTTTTCGTACACTTCTAGTACAAATTTCCAAAAACCATAATACACTCCATCAGTGACCCTCATTTCGAATTTAGGAGTTCTATCTTTACTGCTTCCTCAAATACAAAGGGTACCATATGTAGTACCATTTAAAAAAGCTCACGGAAACTTTCGTAAAGCTCTCGGAGGCTTTCTTGTTATTGAGTTAAAAGATTTCTATTTAATTCGATTTTTTAATTGTTTTAATATTTTCTGCCATTTCTAATCCTTCTCCCTTTTTCCTTTCAGTTATTTGCCTGCGCTACGGTGCTTTTAAGCTGTGCCAATGCCCGTCCGGATCTGAGCCTGGGCTATCGTTACAATCAAGGCCATAGCAGTGGAGGCGGCTCATTTTTGCGTGCCCCCGGCGGCGTTTCGTCCTCCTATAGCCCCACCGCCTCCGGTAATGCCTATTTTGCCTCCCAACCATCGGTGGGACAATTCGGAAACTCTGGATTTGCTCCATCCTTTGGCAGCTTTGGTGTTGGCGGAGGCAGTGTTGGTGGCGGCTCCGTCGGTGGTTCCTTTGGCAATTCACAATACAATTCCGGCTCATCCTTCTCTCAAAATTCCGCTGTAAATGTTGAAGAACAACAGGCATTCCTAGGCCATTTACAAAATCATCAAGCTCCGTTGGTGACCAAACATTTCTATCTGCACACCGCTCCCGTCGACAGTGATGAACAACAAATTGTACGCTATGTCAACATTGGTCGCCCACAGAAGAACTATCGTGTTGTCTTCATTGATGCACCCTCGAACACCCACAACAAGGCTAAGATTATTGCCAATGTTGCACCCACCGAAGAGAAGACCGCAATTTATGTACTCTCCAAGAAGAACAATGCTTTGGATGTCAGCGCTGAAGTTGTCACCCCAGCTCCAGTTAATAACAAACCCGAGGTGTTCTTCATCAAATACAAGACACCCGAGGAGGCCATTCATGCCCAACATACCATTCAAGCTCAGTATGATGCTCTGGGCGGTAGCTCAGATGTCAGCAATGAGGGACCCATTCCAGTTTCATCGGTAATTGGCAGTTTGGGTGGTGGTTCTGAGGGGGATGATGGTAGCGCCGGTTCCCAGTTGGTGGATGGTGACAATGGTAGTCAATATGTTGGTCCCGTTCAAGTTGCCCACACCGGCACCAATACTCAACAAACTTATTTGCCAGCCAATCATAAATAAGTTTGCATTTTGAGGTGATATTGAATTGATAATTAATTTGCTTTTTATTTTTTCGAGAAATATTTGTGGTGTTTGTTGTTAAATTGATATTTTTGTAATGTTGTATACTTGATAAAGAAATAAAAAAAATCCAATAAAAATGTATTTCTTTAATTTCTGTATATTTTATCTTAGATCTTCTTCGACTAGAAGACCTCAATGTCTTCTTCGACTAGAAGACCTCAATGTCTTCTTTGACTAGAAGACCTACAGAGGTCTACTTCGACTAGAAGACCTAGAGGTATTCTTGGACTAGAAGACCTTGAGGTCTTCTTCGACGAAAAAGACTAAAAGACCCAGATGTCTACTTCGGTTAAAAATCCTTGAGGTGTTCTTGGACTAGAAGGCCTAGAGGTCTTCTTCTTCTAGAAGACCCGGAGGTCTTCTTCCCCTAGAAGACCAAGAGATTTTCTTGGCCCAGAAGACCTAAAGGTCTTCTTGAACTAGGGGTCTTGTGTGATCAGAAGAGGAGAGGTATTCTGAGCTAAGAAGACCTCTTGGTCTTCTAGTCAAAGAAGAACTCTCTTTTTCTGATCACACAAGACCTTCCTAGATGTCTTCTTCGCCTAGAAGATTTAGTGGTCTTAGTCCCCTAGAAGACCTAGAGGTCTTTTTCATATGATTCTTCTTTTATCCATGGAATGCCTACGTTTATTCAATCACACCAGAGGGTGCCTACATTCATATGTTATATACATACACACTTGTATGTGTTACACCCCACCCCTCTGAATTTTACTTTGAAAGCAATTTTAAATATTTCTTAATAACAATTTCTTGTCATGACAGATTAATTTTTCCGATTTCCTCCATCAATTTGTCCCTTCTTGGGATTCTTAACAAAATCGAAAAACGGGAAGTTTCTTAAAATTCCATGAAGAAATATTTTCCCCCACCTTTAAGGGATGTCTGTATATCTCATTTGCCTAAGTGATTTTCACTCTTTAAACAAATTTGAGCGAGTGCACTACTGGGAGCAGAAAAAATGGAGCGGACTCAATTTTTCGATATCGCTCGAATATGAGTTATTGTATTTTCCTTGTTTTTGTTATACCGTCGTTCTATTTCTGTACATTTTCATTTTTCTGTACAAAACCACCCTCAAAACCCGTTTTCTGTTACACACACACGAATCACAGAACTAAACATCTTTATCCACTTATTTACAAGCAAACCATTGCTCTATTTTCAGCGATTCTGCTTCCACTCTTAAGTTTTTTTCATGAGTGACTCAGGAGTGTTCCCAAATAAAACAAAAGAGTGAAGAGTAGATTCCCTAAATATACTCCCACTCTTCGAACAATCCTGTTCGCGAGCAAATCTGTGCTCTGGATATGAACTACAAAGGTAAAATATTTTAAAATTTTCACTAGTAGCATTTGAACCCAAAAAAAAAAAAGAAACTGTTGAACTGTCCTGTTAAATATTTATAACAAGGGTGGGCTCTATCCATTATGATTTAAAAATTTTACCCTCTTCGTCTGAAAATTAAGCACAGTCAATTCGGTTGCAAATTGAGATTGAAACTTCCGTAGTACTGTAATATCAGAAGGTACGTGCAAAACGGGCTGGCCCTATTTTGGGTCGGATATGGCATGTTATCTAGTAAAAGTACTCTAAATTTTTGCCAATCAAATTTCGACCCGTTACGAAGTGAAAATTCCAATTCCTACTACTCCAAAACAGCACCTTTCACAATTTTATTGCAAGGATGTATTTTTATACTCTCCACCATACAAGATAAGTTTGCCATTCCGTTTGTAACTCATCGAAATAATAATTTTAGGTCTAGATATTCTTGATCAGCGTAAAATTGTAAGACGATTTAGCCATATCCGTCCGTCTGTTGCAATCACGCTAGGATCAAAACGAATTAAGATAAGAAGCTAAAATTTTGCACAGATTAGTCCTTTGTCTGCAGGCGGGTCAAGTTCAAGGATGGGTTACATCGACCCACGATATGGAATATCCCCCATACACCGGTACCCCGTTGTTTCAAATTTCATATTTAAAGTTCGAAATGGATACAGCCTATGACGGATAATTGTCTATGTAGGTCCATGTCTTTATAAAGGCCCCATAAAACGATACCTCCCTTTACCCGGTATTTTGATGATATGATCGACGTTATTCGCCGGAATTGTTTCAAATTTCTATGTTGAAGTTCGGAATCGGCACTACAGCCGATGATAAAAAATTACTCATGCAGAATCTCGTCTACATATAGCGCCCATATAATGGTTTACCTTTGAGCGGTATATTTAGCCAGATTTTTTTGAATATTTTCAGGTTAATTCAAAATGCTGGAGGGTATTAAAAGTTCCGCCCGGCCGAACTTAAATGCTCTTTTACTTGTTTCCATCACATTACATCCTCTTCAGCAGGAAAATATGATCCAGACTTTAAAAAAACACCTTAGATCAGAGTCAAAAAGTAGATCGATGTGAAAATGTTTGCTACGGCAATTTTCAATTCAATTAGACAACATAATGGTTGGAATATTTAGAATAAAAAAAATTTTGAAATATCGAAAATAAAAAAAAATGATTACCAAATAAGGGATTTATTAGTAACATCCTTACACCTTATTTTTTTTATTTCTGGTGAAAAGATATAAAAATTGAATAAAGTTGTGGATTTTGTACATAAAAAACAAAGAAAATAAGTTCCAGACATCATGCAGTATCTGAGGGTTAATTAATTTTTTTTAGCTTTCCAAGCTAAGAGTTGCAGTTGAAACATTTTATTTTAACCGACAAGTATGTCTATGCGATTACGTTTTTTTTTTTTTCGGAAAATAATCATATATATGGCCTAAGAGCTAATTGATTTATAAATATTTCATTTAAATGTTTAACTCTAACAGATTGCAACAAATTAACAAATATAAAGCAATGTCGCCTTCATTTCAAATTTATTTCTCAAAATATGTCTGTCTGGCTGGAGTTTAAGATAACTCTCGAAGGGAGTATCCGATTTCATCCATACTTGTTATATCGTAATAATATTGTCAAACATAGGTCGAGTTTGGAGATGGGCAATATCCCCACAAAATTTCAACATTTTCAAAGAAAATAATTTACTGCACACAAAGAGAAAGAATAACCCGATTTCGCTCCATCTTTTTGCAAATCCTAATATTTGCATTAGTGCTAGGTCAGGTGAGAAAATTGACCACTCCACTCCATAAAGTACCTCCCCCACAAAGGGTCAAAATTTTTAATAAATATAACTCTTATAATATGTGAATTAACAGCCCGATTGTTGAAATTGTTGGATTGAATGGAATATTGCGATATGTTCAGCTCACGAGCCATTTTTCGGCCACTGCGACGCGACAGGTTTCGATCAAGTCGCTACTTTACCTTTCGAACCATTTCTGCTGATGTTGCTGTTTTCTTCCGTCCACTTCCTTTACTTCCATGTCGGGCTACGCCACCAGTATCACAGTAACGAGCGATGGTACGAGATACAAACGATTTATTCACATTTAAATGCTGGAGTGCTCTGGCTGACGATAGGCACTTGTGGTTTTCCAGCCAAATATAAAGAAATCACACTATTATGCTTCAATTCCATCACGAATAATTTTTTTTCTAGAAAATTCTCATCAAAATGCTTTTGTACGCTTGTTAACAATATAATGAGCTGTCACTGGATTAATTTTATAGCTGTCGAACGAGTGGCTTAGAAATGACAGCAGTCTGAAGTTGCAGTTGCAGTTTTCTCATCTCACCCCGTAGAGATTTCTTTTTGTTGGTGACTTATAGTGAAATTTCATGAAGAATATTTGTGTCTTGAATGTCATCCTTCTAAAATCATTGTTTTGTTGGAGATTTTTGCACAAACTCGCAAAAAGTTGGGTTTAAAGCCCATAATGTGTTTATACCCAACACCACAAGGTGGTCAGGGTATTATGTCTTTGTGCATTTGTTTGTAACAGGCAAAAGGAAACGAGATAGACCCATAGTTCCTTTTGATGATCTGCATAGAATCATATTCTGAGTCGATTTATGCATGCCCGTCCGACTGTCTGTCCATCCGTATTTTTGTAAGCAAAGTGCAGTTCGCATTTATTGCCCTATCCAGATGAAATTTTGCACAAATCATTTGTTTGGCCCAAAGACGAACCCTATTGAAATTGGAAATAATCGATCAAAATTTAGATATAGCTCCCATATATATCTTCGTCCGAATTGCTTTTTATTGTGCACCAAACGTGTAATATCAGTCCGAATAGTATGGAATTTTGCACATACAACCAGATTAGGCCTGAAAAAAAGTATGCCAAATTTGATCGAAATCGGTTCAGATATAGCTATAGCTCCCATATTTATTGTTCATCTGACTTGTTATTATTGCCCTCCACAGCCCCAACAATATTTGGGGAAATATATCAAATGCAGTTCAGAAATATCTTTGCTAAATTTTATCGATATCGGTTCAGATTTGGATATAGCTCCCATACATAACTTCATTCGATTTAGCTTTTATTGTCCACCAAACGTCTAATATTTGCCCAAATGGGATGGAATTTGGTACTTATGACCGAATTGAGCCTAGAAGCAAGTATGTCAAATTTGGTGAAGATCGGTTCAGATATAGCTATAGCTCCCATATATATTGTTTTTCCGATTTGTAATTTTAGTCCTCCGCAGACGTAATATGCACTCTGTAACAACAATATTTGGGGAAATACATCAGATACAGTCAGAAATACATTTGCTAAATTTTATCGAGATCGATTCAGATTTGAATATAGCTCCTATATATATATCTTTATCCGATTTCAAATTAATTGTGCACCAAATGGGCAATACAAGTCCGAATACAAGTCCAATTCTGGCATTGAGGTGTGATTTAGACTTGTGAAGTCTTCCAGGACCTATAGTAAAATTGTATGACAGGTCACTGTGTAGAATTTTGACTAGCTAAGATCCTAATTAAAGGTAGTTTTTAACCATATTATTAAAAAGGTTGCAGTTTATTGAACAAGATTCTGAAACACTGTGAGGTTAAAATTCTGATATTTTTGGTTTTCCATTTAAAATCTGTCTTTTATAATTTTCAGAACTATTGCCAAGGTAAACCAAGGTTTCCTTTTTTAATCTAGAAATTGTATCCCTTGGTGTAACAATAATTTCTACAAAATTAAAAAAAAATAAGTTTTTTTTATAAAATTTAACTAAACACTTTATTGAAGTATTCCTATGAAAATAATGGCAATGAAAAAATGAACAATTTGTTTATAAAACTAAAAAACAACTAACAACTAAACTAAAAAAAAAAAAAAACAAAAACAATATTTAATGTTTCAACAACGAGGGCAAGTATTGGCTGGTGGGTTTTTCAACCAAACCGGCATTGTCGTTGGTTTGACGGTAATTGTAGCTGCCATCAGGATTAAGGCTGTCCAAAGAGCCAATGACTGAGGTGATGGGGGCAGTGGTTTCTTCGGCAAGTTCGTTGGTGCCACCCAATTTGTCGTATTCATCTGGAAGGAGTACAAAAAAACAACAATTATTTTATGCTCCATTTCTATAGATTGTCCTTTTGGGCTACTTACCTTGAATTTCCTTTTGAGCCTGTTTAGCCTCCTCATCGGTCTTGTATTTGATGAAGAAGACTTCGGGTTTGCTGGGCACAGTTGGTGCTGGAGTGGCAATATCACTGGCATCCAATTCATTTTCTTTCTTGTTGAGAACATAGATGACAGTCTTCTCTTCCTGTGGCGCAAATTCGGCAGAGTATTTAACGTTACCAGCACCAGGGTTGGGAGCCTTGATGAAGACAACACGATAGTTCTTTTGTGGGCGACCCAATACCAAATGTTTCTGTTTGGGTTGGCTGTCGCTATCCTCGGGAGCTGAGATCACATAGAATTGCTTGCGTACAATTGGATCCAGGGGTTTGCCGGGAGGTGGCAAATATTTATCACCACCACGATGGCTGGCAACGGTGGGAGGTAATCCATGGGGGTTGGGTTGCAGATAACCATATTGAGGGGCAGCACAGGAAACTGCCAACAATGCTGAGAACACAATCAAGGCACGCATTTTCAAAGGATTTCGTTCGGTTTTCGTTAATTCGATTTTTTTGCACTTTTTTCGTTTCGTTTCGATTTTTTTTCTAAATTTGTAGTTCTTGTCTTTTTTACTTTTTTGTCTTGGAGACTTCTTTGTCTCTTGAACTGTTACACTTCACTGCATACTAATTCCCGAAGATCATTCAACTTTTATACGAAAATATCAAAAAATAAATTATTTTCAATGTAGCTCTCAAAACTTGTCCCCATCGTCCAACAAATTGATAAACAACAAAAAAGTTAAAAAAAAAATATGCAAATTATCCCAAATGAATAACAAAAGGTAAATATGTTCGTAAATGAATTTGAAGCCTACTCTACTATTTTTTCGATTTCTTAAGGTGATTTGGCTGAAAGACAATTTTACGCCTTTGGTTTTTTGTTAGTGTCACCAGATAGCATTACTATTATTAGCATTGTTATTGTTGTTGTTGTTTTAGATTATTGAATTGATTCTGATCTTTTTTTTTTCGAGATGAGATGAGTTGAGTTGTGGTTGTCCATGCAGCCGTCAGCTAGTTTTGGAATTTTTGCCATTTGATTAAGTTGACCCATAATTTATGTAAATTTTCAATTTCGATTTCAAGCTAAGATGGCCAGCAAAAAAAATTAAAATAAAACCAAAAAACCGCTACCACACAAGAAGTTTCAACGTATCTATAACTTGGCCAACGTTTATTTTTAATCAACGCCAAGAATTATTTTTTTGTTGTGAAACTGAAAGTGATTTAGTTTGTCTATAATTAGTTTTTAATATTTGTCATAAATTTTGAGAGAACAATAAAAATTAAATAATAAAAATGTCACCTTAGCGGGGAATGTAGAAAAAAATGATTAACATTTGTTTCCTAAGGTTTTTGTTGTTATTTGCTAAAGAATTCGCATAATTTCAAAAATTTGTTTCTTAAGTCTTTCGTTTTTTGGGTGAAAAAGATTTGCTGTTGCTAGCATGATTAAGAGTATCGAAATGAAGAAGAAAATTTTAACGCTTGTTTCTTAAGTCTTTTGTCGTCTTTATGTTTAGCCTTTGAAGTTTGTTTCTTAAGTCTTTCGTTTTTTGCGCAAAAATATATGCTTTGTTTTTGCAAACACTGGTACGAGTGGACTCAGAGAGAAAAAGAGAGAGAGAAATGTTTTTGGGAGTAAATCAAACATTTGAAGGTTTGTTTCTTAAGTCTTTTTCCTTATATGTGGCAAATTTATAAGGTTTGGTTCTTAAGTCTTTTGTTTTGTTTATGACGCAAAGATATAATTTGGTTTTTCTTTGGTGATTAAAGAATTATGTTATATTTTATTAAACAAGTAAGCAAAGGCTACAGTCGAGCGGGGCCGACCGTTGAATACCCTACAACACTATAATAAACCATACTGTTTATACAGGCGAGATACTCGAAAGAACTCCACAAGATATTGGGACAAATAATAAAAGAAAACCATCATGTTTCGTTCTCTAATTTTCGGATAATAGTAGCTTAAACGAATTTGCTCATTTCCAATTTATTGGTAGATGTCGCTGGAATGGACATTTTCGTATTTAGTCTACAAAAGTTGGCAAACTATTTCACACATTGAATATTTTTGGAAGGCCATCCGAAACTGCTTGGCTTTTGCAATGTGCGGTAACCCCCATTCAAATGTGCGTGAGGATCGGACGGTAATTACGACCTGCTGACAATTTGGCAGTTTTTTGGTCCATTTCAACCCCTAAATATATAGCGATCATCTCCAAAAAGAGTAGGCATCTATTCTGACCCTCATCTTATCCCCATGCAAAATTTCGTAAGGATCGGGCCATAAATGCGATCTGTATATGATATCGTGATATCCTAACTACTTAGTTTTGTTAGCTGTAGAAAAATTACCAAATGTTTAATTCAAAATGAAAATATACCAAAAATATGACAAAATTGAAAAAATATGAGAAAATTTTACAAAATCAATATTTTCATCTTTAGAGAGATATTTTTATGCGATTTTTTTAGATGTTTCTTCTTTCCTGCCAAGAGGCCATTCTGAATTAATGAAAACTGTCGAAATCAGTTCAGCCGTTCTCGACATATAAGAAATCTTTCAAGCATATCTTCTTTGATAGACATATATATCGCACATATTTTGCTATATATCCGATTTGTTGGATGTTAACATCAATGTAAAGGTCAGAAGTAACCTTATCATGACTTTGTGATTTCGCCGGGATTTAAAAAATTCACGGTTTAATGAAAAACTTTGAATTTTTTCAACACAAAAGACATGGTCTATTTTACCCGCTAAATATTATCCGATGACCACCCAAATTGGTAGACTTCTTCCCCGCCCTAAACTCTAGCTACATGCGAAATTCCGCGTCGATTGGTCTATAATTGCGACCTGTATAGCTACTGCAAAATCCGACATTTTTTCAGTATTTGGTCCATTTCAACCCCTAAACATTTGGCGATCATCTCCAAAAGAAATAGGCTTCTATTCTGACCCTAACCCCACCTTCGTGGAAAATTTCGCAAGGATCGGGCCATAATTGCGACCTGTAGAGTGATTACAAATTAACATGGACAGACGGACAGACGGACAGACGGACGGACGGACATACATAGCTAGATCGACTCAGCTCGGCGAGCTAGGAAGATCCATATATACTTTCCTATATGGGAAACCAATATTTCGAGGTGTTACATAATTTTTTGCCCAATCAAACTTATAATACCCCCAACACATAGTGTTGTAGGGTATAAATATATTGATTATTCAGAAATATTTTCTATATTTTATTGTAGAATTGCATTTTTATACCCTCCACCATAGTATGCAGGGTATATTAAGTTTGTCATTCCACCTCATAATACACATTTAAGACCCCACAAAGTATATATATTCTTGATCAGCATAAAATTCTGTGTCGATTTAGCAATGTCCGTACGTCTATCCGTTTGTCCGTCTGTGGAAATCACTCTAGCTTCTGAACGAAAAGAAGTAGGATGATAGAATTTTACTCAAATGTACATTATATTTGCAGGACTTTTGGTATTGAAAATGGGCCATGTAGGTCGACGTTTTGGTAAAGCCCCCCTGTAACGGGACCTCCCGATATTCGGTACTTTGGTGATTTTAGCGACATTTTTCACCGAAATTGTTTCAATTGTTGCATTGGAAGTTCGTAATGGATACTACAGCCTAAGGCAGAAAATTGTCTATGCTGGTCTACGTCTTCGTATGGCCCCCATTATGGCGGTACCTCCCGATAATCGGTATTTTAATGATTTTAGCGACATTATTCACCGGAATTGTTTCAAATTTGGTGTTTGAATTTCGTAATAGATACTACAGCCGATGAAAAAAATTTTTCTGTGCAGGACTACTCTTTGTATAGCCCCAAATATAACGGTTACTCTCTTTATTCAGTATTTTGATGATTTTAGCTACATCATTCACCGAATTCAAGTTTCGCATTTGAGTGTTGTAATGGTTTATGACAAAAGTTGCCTATGCAGGTCCACGTCGTCATATAGAACCTAATATAAGGGCTACATTTGGTATTTTTAAGATTTTAAGAGGACGCATTTTTTTTTTCTTTTTTGAAAATTGACAAAATCGTTCCAAATGGTAGAGGGTATGCAAAGATCGGCCTGGCCGAACTTATAACTTTTTTACTTGTTTTTTTCTAGGTAGCAGGTAGCAAAATAAATGGTCCGATCTCTACCATCTTAATAACAGATCTGGTGTTGATGGAAATATTGAGATGTACCAAGTCTGGAATGGAATCGGATGTTAATTACGCTTTTTATGAACTTCATGAATATAATATAAATTTGAGCCTATGTGGAGGAGGTATCAGAAGGAGTGGACAGATATATCCCATCTTCACAACAGGTCTTGTGTTAGTAAAAATAATGGCATGTGTGAAATATAAAGAGAACCTGATGCTTATTTCACGTTTTATGACCATCATGGATATTCAAAATTTTAACCCTTAGTAGGGGAAGTACCAGAAGATTGGTCCGATCTCTACCGGTTTTATAATAGATCCTGTGTTGATAGGAATATTCAGAAGTGCCAAGTGTAAAAGGAATCGGATTTTCAGTTTGAGTTTTATAAAATATTCAAAATTTCCACCTTTAATGGGCGAGGTACCACAAGAAGTGGACCGATATTTTCCATCTGAATACCAGATCTTGATTGTGTAACAATATTAGGATATGTGAAACATTAAGACAACCGGATTCTTACATTGCATTTTATGAGAGTTGTAATTGTTCAAAATGTTGACCCTTTGTGGGGGAGGTACTTGATGGAGTGGACCGATATTGTCCATTTTCGCACCTGACCTAGGTCTGATGCAAATATTAGGATTTGCAAAGTTGAAGCAAAATCTGTGCAGAAAATATATTTTTTTTTTAAAATTTCGACCTTTTGTGGGGGATGTGCCAGAATGAGTGAACCGATGTATTCTATCTTCACACCAGATCTTGGGTTAATAAAAAAATTGTGATGTGTGCAATTTGAAGACTATCGGACACATAAATTACATTTTATAAGAGCTATAATTATTCAAAAATTTGGACCCTTTGTGGGGGACGTACTTGATGGAGTGGTCTGATATTGTTCATTTTCGCACCTAACCTAGCACTGATGCAAATATTAGGATTTGTAATGTTGGAGCAAAATCGGATAATAATTTCTCTTCCAAAATTATTCAAAAATTTGACCCTTTGTGGGGGAGATACTTGATGGAATGGTCTGATATTGTTCATTTTCGCACCTGATATTAGGATATACAAAGTTGGAGCAAACTCGGATTATTCTTTCTCTTTCTGTGCAAAAAAAAAAATATATATTATTAAAAATTTCAATCTTTTTTGGGGGAGGCACCAGAATTAGTGGATCGATATATTCCATCTTAACACCAGACATTGGGTTAACATAAATATTGGGATGTGTGAAATTTAAAGACAATCGGGCTCATATATCAAATTTTATAAGAGTTGTAATTGTTCAAAATTTTGACCCTCTGTGGAGAGGTACTTGATGGAGTGGATCGATATTGTACATTTTCGCACCTGACCTAGAACTTTCGCAAACATTAGGATTTGCTTAGTTGGTGCAAAGTCGGATTATTGTTTCTCTTTATGTGCAGAAAATATATGTTTAGAAAATTTGAATTTTTTGTGGAGGATGTACCAGAGGAGTAGACCGATACTTTTTTGTGGAGGATGTACCAGAAGGAGTAGACCGATACTGCCCATCTCCGGACTCGATCTAAGTTTGACAAAAATATTATGAAGTACCAAGTTTGGACCAAATCGGATACTCCCTTCGAGAGTTATCGTGCGCGCCAGCCAGACAGACAGACGGACGGACATCGCTAGATCAACTCCAAATGTCCTAAAACGGATTTGATCCAAAGAGATCTAGGGTCTTAAACCGATATTTCGACTAGGCACGTTTTGACCGTATCAAATGATATATAGCCTCTCCAGCCATATGGCTGAGGGTATAAAAACAGGGAAACATATTTAAATTATAAATGACCGGTCAAACTACCATCGACTTCGCCATCTTTAGAGAAATATCCTCAATAAGTTGTCATATGTTCGATTTGCCAAATGTTTTTTTTTTTTTTTCATTACTCCAAAATATTTGATCCTACACCAAAAA